TTGAAGACCTTTACAAGAGCAGTCTCAGTGCTGTGGTTTGGACGAATGCCTGACTGGAACACATCCAAACAGTTATTTAAATGCAAGAAATTACTCAACTGTTGAAAAACAACTTTTTCAATGATTTTACCTAGAAATGGGAGGTTTGATATGGGCCTGTAATTGTTCATTACTGAAGCATCTAGATTATTATTTTTTAAGAGCGGTTTAATGACTGCAGTTTTCAGGGCCTGTGGAAAAACACCTGAGTGAAGAGACTTGTTTACTATGTGAAGTAGATCTGAGGCCATGCAAGGAAAAACATCTTGGAAAAATCCTGTTCGAATAATATCAAGGCAGCAGGAGGAGGATTTTAGATGTTGTTTAATGTCCTCTAGGTTTTCATCATTAATCTGATGGAACTGTGTCATGGTGTTTGAATTTATTTCAACTGGACTCAGGGACAACACATTTGCTGTACCTGATGCAGAGGCACTGACTGCTTGTCTGATTTTCTGAATGTTGTCAGTGAAAAAGGCAAAGTCATTGCAGGCCCTGGTGGATAGAAGTTCAGAGGCTACTGACACTGGGGGGTTTGTTAGTCTGTCGACGGTAGCAAACAAGGCACGTGCGTTGTTTTTGTTTTTGGCAATGATGTCAGAGAAGAAAGACTGTCGTGCAATTTACAATTCCAAATGATAAAAGCCAAGTCTCTCTTTATAGATTTCAAAATGAACCTGGAGATTTGTTTTTCTCCACCTGCGTTCAGCTTTTCAACACTCTCTTTTTTCTGTTCTCACGGTCATGGCCTTTCTCCATGGAGATATTTTCTTACCAGTCACTTCCTTTATCTTAGTTGGAGCAATGGCATCTATAACATTTTTTATTTTTGAATTAAAATGATCTACTAGCTCATTTACTGAGATGTTAGCAGGGGCAAGTGTGGAAGAAACATTCTGAGTAAACATTTCCCTAGTGTTTTCAGTTAAATATCACTTTGTGGTTACCTCTTTTTGAACATTTGTGTGAACAGAAATAGAGCTCTCAAAGGAATGATCAGAGAGTGCAACATCAGTCACCACAACCTCAGAGATATTCAGACCCTTTGAGATCATTAAGTCCAGAGTGTGCCCCTTATTGTGCGTGGGCTCCGTCACATGCTGAGTCAGTTCATAGTTATCAAGAACACAAAACAGTTCTTTAGCCCCTCTGTCCTGGGGGTTGTCAACATGGATGTTAAAATCACCAACAATGACTAGACTGTCAAAGTCAAAACACACTATAGACAGCAGTTCAGTAAAGTAATCAAAAAAAGCTAAAAGAAGCTACAGCCTCCGCAGCCCTGGGGGGCCCCTACATTGGTTGTGATGGCAGATGACAGGGATTTGTTAACCTTCACAAGTAGGGATGTCCCGATCACCTTTTTTTGCTCCCGATCCGATTCCGATCATTTGATTTTGACAATCTGCCGATACCGATTTTTCCCGATCCGATCTTTATGCAATGCATTAAGAGAAAAAAAAGGAGAAAAGCATTCAAGTTGTCCCTTAAACCCCACGTTCTCCACCACAGATAACGGCTGGTCATCCACACTGAAAGTGTTGGTTGTTTCAGTGCCGTTACCTGAATGGCCGCTGTGTACTCGTTGTGTTGTTGTTGGTGTTTGTTTCTCAGGTGGCGTATTAGATTGGTCGTGTTGAACGTAGCTCTGTTCTTTCCACCACGCGGAACCTCCGCCTTGCAAACATTGCATCTGGCTGTTACACTGCCTTCGCTTTCAATTTTATAATACTTCCAAACTCCTGACATTTTCTCTGTCCCGAGTCACCAGCTGAACGTAGCCTCTCGTTAGCTTACTGCTACTATTAGACACTGCGCCCACTCTGTTGCCAGATTTGAGAGAAATAAGCAACCAGGTCTATGAAAACAAGCCCAAAAGAAGCAACACATACATGATGTTGTGTAATTTTAAACCAAAACTAAGGCCTCAGGATGACTTTAAGACGTGAACATGGTCATTTTTGTTTTGTAACATTAAATAAAATAAGAAAAATATATTAAAAAAAAAAAAAAAAAAAAAAAAAAAAATCTGATCCTTGATTTTTTTCTCCCGATTCCGATCTTTTGAAAATCACGTGATCGGCTCCGATCCCCGATCACGTGATCGGATCGGGACATCTCTATTCACAAGTTGCTCTCTACTGGTGAGGAAAGCGGCATACCAGTAAATCAGGTATGGATTTACTTCCATTTTGGCCGTTTTTGACACCAAGATGTCTGCTTGTATTGTGTTGAATGCTGCTGAGAAGTCTAGGAAGAGGGCTCTTGCATAGGTGTGACGTTTATCTAAATGTTTAGTAATGATATGAACCAGAGTAGCAACAGTACCACCCCCTTGCTTATAGGCAAATTGGTATGGATCAAGTATGTCTTGTCCGTCACAATAGGTTTAGCTGAAGAGGTCATGGTTCTCATGGTGTCCCACACTTTTTTGGAGTCTTTGGCTTTAAAAGCATTTCCCAAAAGCTCTCTGTGTGCCAGTTTTGATTCCCTCAATTTGACTTTCAGTTATTTCTCTGTCTAAGTGCTCCATAGTCTTTGTTTTTGAAAGCTATTTTCCTGGTTTTTATAACTTTTTTTTAATGTCCTTAGTCACATATGATTTATTACTTGGATAGATTTTTATTTCTTTAGTGGGAACACAGAAGTTAATATAGTCTTTGGTAACAGTAGTTATTTCATCTAGTGAACCTTCCTGAAAAATGTCCCAATCTGTCCAATCAAAACAGGCTTTCCACTGTTCCCTACTTTCATTTGTCCATGTCCTTATTACTTTCTTTTCTGGTTGACTTCCCTTCAGTTTGGTCTTATACACTGGTATCATATTCACAACATTATGATCAAAGTTCAGTATTGGTGGTCTGTATTTAGACGTATAGGCTCCTTTATCATTAACAAAGCATTTGTCCAGGATATTGTCTTTCCTGCTGTGATCCCTAACATACTGCTGGAACCCAGGTAACACAGTCTCCAGGCGACATTGCTTCATGTCCCCGAGCACTATTGTCGGTGCATCGGGGTGGCTGAGTTGCAGCTCGTGAACACAGTGTCTTCTGCCGCTGGGAGGCACGTAAACAACAAACAGTAAAATACACCCGAATTCTCTCGGCAGATAAAAGGGTCTTAACGTCATGCCGAGAATTTCTACGTTGGGATTGCAGGTTTTACATTTTACTGAGTATGATCGGCACCACAGATCATTAATATACACACAAATACCGCCTCCTCTGGTTTTCCCCGAGTTCGCATCCCTGTCTGCTCGAACAAGGGTGAATCCGGGTACTTCAAAGAGAGATTCAGGCATTGTAGATTGTAGCCAACTTTCCGTGAAACATAATAAAGAGGCCTCAAGAAATTCATGACAGTACCTTGTGTATGTCCTTAGTGTGTCCACGTTGTTGCTCAATGAGCGCAGGTTTGTGAGAATGATGGATGGAATTGTTGGCCGGCTGAATCTCCGCGATTCTGAACGCCTCCCCTCCTTCCTCATCTCTTTTACCTGGTGTTTCTAAGCGGCTCCCGAGGGATTTCATCCAATAACGAAGAGCACAGATGGCTTGGTGTATTCGTAGGAGGCCGATCACATTGCTCTAGCATAGCCTCGCGGCTGTAGCAGCGTAGAGGCCGGGGCTCCTCGCCATACCTGTTCGTGCTGTCACTCAGGTGTGTCTTGGAAAGTTGTATGGCCAGACATGGTCTGCAGAAGGCAAATGTAATCCACAGGATCAAAAGCATGGTCTCTCAAAATAACGTTTCATACAGACACAACAAAGTTTAGACAATAATTAGACAAAAAAAACAAAAACAAAACACAAGACGAACGGAGCATACTAAGACTCGCAGTGACAGGATGCCGTCTCCCTCTGTCTCCTGTATACCAGAGGTGGGAGTAAGTCATACATGTGCAAGTCTCAAGTTACTGGGGTGAGAGTCAAGCAAGTCAAGTCCTACGAAATCCTGATGAATAACCCCAGTTTCCGCATTTAAATCAGTTAAAAGACAGTGGTTATGAAAACTAGAGTTTTATTTTCCACATTAACAACAATGGAGAGTGGGGCTCTGAAATAATAAAACAGGTAATAGGGGGAATAATTGGGCAGTTCAGGTGCGTGTGGTTAAAACGTAGCAGCCTGCGGCCGCTCGTTAGCTGTTCTAATGAAGGTAAACACAGTGAAGGCACAGCTCTTTGCAGCTGATGCTGCTCTTCTCAGATTCTGCTGAGTTACACGTTACTGTCTCCTGGTGCTGCAGAGATTTCATGAAGTGAAGGAGGTTTTTCTTCTATAAAACAGCTGTGGGCAGCAGATACTGTGAGAGTCACAGACATGAATACATAGGTCAAGGCAGACTGGTTCATAGACTCTCCTGTTTTGCCGATCCGGTGCTCCTGGCCGAAATGTCCCTAAAATGAAGTCCGAGTTTGAAATATATCTCAAATAATGTATGTATTTCCCCACATAAACATAACAGTCTGCAATGAAACGGCTGTCTCCTGTGCGCTCCACTTCCTACTTTCTCCTGCGAACGAGATACTTTCTCTCTCTTTTTTCTTTCTTTCATTGCCCTCTAGGGGCTTCGTACAATACAAAAACAAATGCAAATCTTTTATTTTAAAAAGTAAAGTCCTTTCGAGTCATCTGTCTCAAGCCTAAGTCAAGTCTCAAGTCATGAATACCAAGTCAAAGTCAAGTCGAGTCTTTTATCAATGTTAGTCAAGCAAGTCTCAAGTAAAAAAATATGCGACTCGAGTCAAGTCATGTGACTCGAGTCCCCCACCTCTGTTATATACTGTGGTTAGAATATTACTATATCAAATATAATACAAATATAATAAACACAAACAGTTGAAAAGTAGTATTTTGTTAACTCAAGGTTTATATTAAGTGAGTTTTTATTGTGTTAACTTGTGTATTTATGCTTTTTAGATTGACTTTCTCTCTTTCTCTGTCCGTCTGTTCTAGAAACCGAAAGGAAGAGAGACACGTCACAGCTGTCAGCAATGTGACAAATCCTTTACAACATCTGGAAGTTTAAGGCGCCACCTGCGTATTCACACGGGAGAAAAACCGTATAGCTGTGAAGAGTGTGGGAAAACTTTCAATCAATCAGGTGCTCTCAAAATACATCAACATATTCACACTGGAGAAAAACCGTACAGCTGTGAAGAGTGTGGGAAAACTTTCAATCAATCAGGTGCTCTAGAATCACATCTTCGTGTTCACACTGGAGAAAAACCGTACTGGTGTGAAGAGTGTGGGAAAACGTTCACTACATCAGGTGCACTCAAATCACATCACCGTATTCACACTGGAGAAAAACCGTACAGCTGTGAAGAGTGTGGGAAAACTTTCAATCAATCAAGTGCTCTCAAATCACATCTTCGTGTTCACACTGGAGAAAAACCTTACAGCTGTGAAGAGTGTGGGACAACTTTCACTACATCAGGTGCTCTAGAATCACATCTTCGTGTTCACACTGGAGAAAAACCGTACTGGTGTGAAGAGTGTGGGAAAACGTTCACTACATCAGGTGCACTCAAATCACATCACCGTATTCACACTGGAGAAAAACCGTACTGGTGTGAAGAGTGTGGGAAAACGTTCACTAGATCAGATACTCTCAAATCACATCTTCGTGTTCACACTGGAGAAAAACCTTACAGCTGTGAAGAGTGTGGGACAACTTTCACTACATCAGGTGCACTCAAATCACATCACCGTATTCACACTGGAGAAAAACCGTACTGGTGTGAAGAGTGTGGGAAAACGTTCACTAGATCAGATACTCTCAAATCACATCTTCGTGTTCACACTGGAGAAAAACCATAGTGGTTTTTAGAGTGTAGGAGCCGCATTTAAGCTTATTTTGTTTTTTCACAGTTTACAATAAACAATTCCCATCTATTGGCCATGTGTTGGGTAATCCTTTTTTCCCATTACAGATCCCATCCCAACAGCGCCATCTGTTGATGTAACGTCAGAATTGACAGGCATAATGTTCACTGTTCCTTTAAGTTTTGTTTTCTGGCTGTCCGTCTGCCGACAGCACGCTGTTTCAAACAGCTGACATTATTGCAGCATTAAATCCAAGCCATTGTCCAATACAGCTTATGTATCCAATATACAATCCAGTTTTAATGCTGCACATACCCGGCCGCTTTCCCAGCCTTGGCTCTCGGCGTCTCCTTTCGCCGTCTTGATGAGCGCAGGTGGTGACAATCTCCAGCTGATTGTGGCGTGTTGTCCAGCTGATCCGGGATGACGGTGTCGGTTGTGAAGTAATCCAATTGTTTGTCCGGTGAAAACGATCCTTAATCCAATGTGATATGTTTCTTATATTGTCCAGTTTCACTCATAGAGTACGATTCTACTTAATGTAATGGTCATTTAAATGTTCCAGTGTCCTATATCTTTTTGCCATTACTTCACAGGAGGGTTTAGAGTGATCCTGACGCAGACACAAGCATATGAAGTTCCGGTCTTTTGCTGCAGTTTTAGAAGAATGTTTTATTGCTTTACATACCAAGGTTTAAGTACACTGTGTCAATAGTTGTAGTATGAGCATCTGCCGGGGCTGTCTGGGCTGGCCGTCAGGTAGAATCGGTATGCTCTTCCTCCTGTGTCCTCTTCCTCTCCTGTCACCTATGACCCCTTTTATACACCCGGTGCAGCTAAACCCCGCCACCAAGTGTTCAAAAATAATATTGCACTATACATATAAATAAGGTAAACTGAGACACCAACAACATCCATAAAATGGCTCCTACAATGAGTGGGAAAACTTTTTCTTAAAGTATTCACCTTAAAGTCCATGAGCGAGTTTCACTGTTCATTAATCTGCTTCGTGTATCTAGAACATATTTACGATGTTTTCAGTTTGATTCTATTCTCTTGTTAAAATGATCAGACTACCAAAAATAAAATGGCCTTAGAAACAGACTCGCAATCCTGCATATTTGTTGTGTTTTGCAGCATATTATAAACATGTCATTCCCTTATTTTCAAATACCACAGGTTGTGTAGTGATGTATTTGAGGTGTACTGTCCACATCGCAGACATGAAGTCGTGCAGTCAATGTATGCGAAGTGTACAGGACCTTGGTCTCTGAGACTCAAAAAAGCCTTTCTCGCCTACCTGTCCACTTTGCATACCTGAGATCCTGCAGTCATTTCTCAAAGATGGTGTGGCATATAGGGAGGTGCAATCTCCTGATGATATAGACTGTATTATAGTGGAAATCTGCAACCCTAGAAAACAAGATAACATTAGGATAATCAATTTATACAACCCATGTCCAAATCTAACCACTGATATATTTAAAGAAATAGCAGGCAATAAACATAGGAAGGAAGTTTGGTGTGGTGATTTCAATGCACACAACAGTCTATGGGGCAGCAACCATACAGACAGTAACGGAAATATAGTGGAAGAAATGCTGGAGGAAAGAACACTAGTATGCCTTAATGATGGACATGGCACAAGAGTAGATGTACACAGGGGGAAAGTTTCATGCCTGGATCTGACATTAGTGTCAAACTGTTTGGTTCATACATGCGAATGGTTTGTTTTGAATAACTCCACTGTAGGAAGTGACCATTATCCAGTGCTTACTAAAATGAATACTAATGTATATATACAGGAAGGAGGTGTAATAACCAGGTGGTGCTTTGCTAAAGCTGATTAGGGGAAATGTAGGATATGGTGTGAGGAGTCGGTACACCTGCTAACATCAGAGGGAAGCATAGAGGTAATTACAAGCCAAATAACGCAACATATACTAAATGCAGCAGAGAACAGTATACCCAAAACAACAACCAAGGGTAGGAAGAAAGTGGTGCCATGGTGGAATGAGGAATGCAGCAGGGCTATTAAAGAGTGAAACGATGCATTTAGCCTGTTAAGCCCCAAGCATGTTTTTCAGGTTTCAGGCTCGAAAATGACATGCCCAGAACAAATGACTATAACTTCACTTCTAAAAGGGTTAAATTAATAATATTTTTTCTCAAAACAAGGTTACATCTGTGAGATGGATGTAGAAGTGTCAGAATCAATATAGATGTTTCTGTGTCAGAGTGAATTCAGATGGAACATAGTAAAAAAGTGTAAATTCTTACCTCCGCCTAAAAAAAAAACATTACTTATAGTGAAAACCACCCTTGAATGATGGGTTAGTAGCCTAAAAGCTTTAGGAATCCAAAGTATAACATATAAGTACCCTGTATCAAGATTGATATTTCGTATAGTCAGTTAGCTGAGTTTCTTCCCGTCAGCTGGGTGTGGCACATTAATAGTTTCATAAATGACACTTCAGAAATCACACTGGTGCTAGCAGATGTAGCATTTTCGGACCCTTCGGCGGGTCCGTGGGGTTTAACAGGTTAGAGAATTAAAGAAAAACATGACACAAAATAATGTTATAGAGTATCAAAGGAAAAGGGCAGCTGCTCGAAGGACAACCATATACACAAAAGAGAACATGGAGAGAATATTGTTCTACCATTGGCAGAGGAGTACAATTAGGTGATGTCTGGTCCATGTTTAAGCGGATGAGTGGGAAAAGGAAATCCATTAAAAATTCCAGCTTTGGTTGATGGGGAGAGGATGGCAGTGACAGATAAAGAGAAGGCAGGCATGTTAGGAAGGACACTTGCAGCAGTACATAGTGGGGAGCATCTCAGTGATATTCATAGGCAGCAAAAACAGCAGTTACTAGCAGAGAATGAAAACGTGAAGGAGAAGAGACAGGATAATAGGTCAGCTCTGGATGTGGAATTAGTAAGAGTGAGTAATGATGTGGGAAAAACATTGAAAATGAAAGAGATAATGGCAATAGTGTACGTTGACATTGAAAAGGCGTATGACTCTATGTGGAGGGAGGGATTACTGATCAAATTGAGTAGAATGGGTATTGGAGGGAGAATGTACAATTGGGTAAGGGCCTTTTTAACAGACAGGACATTTAGAGTAAAGGTTGGAGCAGATATTTCCAATTGTTTAGAAATAGAAAATGGTATCCCCCAAGGGAGTGCAGTCAGTCCAATATTATTTAACATCATGATTAATGATATATTTACATGCTTAGACACATGCATCCAATCGGCTCTATACGCAGATGATGGGGCTATTTGGATGAGGGGAAGAAATGCCCCATACGTAATGAAGAATATAGCTAGAGCGATTAAAGAAGTGGAGAGGTGGTCATATAACTGGGGATTCAAAATGTCAGACAGCAAGTCATGCTACATGGTATTCACAAATAAACACAAGATTGATGGCCAACAGCTAACACTATATGATCGTCCAATGACAAAGGTGAATGAGTTAAAATACCTAGGACTGTGGTTTGATAGCAAATATACATGGAAAATGCATATTAATCAAGTGGAAACAAAATGCTAAAAAGTATTAAATGTATTGCGAGCTGTAGCTGGATGCAACTGGGGCGCAGACAAACAAGCATTAATAGACATTTACAGATCAATTATGAGGTCCACAATAGACTGGTTGTATGGAGGAGCAGCAAAAACATAACTTAAAAATGGATAGAATACAATATAAAGCATTGCGGTTGTGTATTGGAGCGATAAAGTCATCCCCTATCAATGCAGTTCTGATAGAAGCAGGAGAGACACCTCTGGAGATCAGAAGAGAGAAACGTGCTCTGTCATACTGGGTCAGGCTACAAGGAAGTGGAGTGGAAAATATCACAAACAGAAAACTACAGGATTGCTGGGAATATGCAAAGTTCCAGGGACGTGGGTTTGGCTGGACGAGTAAGGAGAGAACGAGGGCATATGGAGTGGAGACCATCACATTTGCCAAAGCAACCCCATTTAGCAGTATTCCCCCATGGCTTTCCCCAGAAGCTAAAATAGATGTGAGTATCATAGAAAGGAAAAAAGAGTGGCAAATAAATGAAGTGGGAATTAAAACGAGTATGTATCTGAACGAAAAGTACTACAATTACCTCAAAATGTACACAGAGGGTTCTAAGAACAAGGAAGAGTGTGTTGGGGTTGGTATATACATCCCAGACTTTAAAGTATCGATCTCCAAAAGACCGTCTGATCAATTATCAGTGTACACAGTAATAATAGGATTACAGTGGGTTGAAGAGGTCAGACCAGATAGGGTGGTGATGTGCACAGATTCATTGTCCATATTACAAAGCATACAATCAACAACAACTGTCAGAGAAGACATTTTCATAGAACTGAATCACAGCCTGTTAAGACTTCACAGAGGCGGTATAGATCTGCAGTTCTGCTGGGTGCCTGCACATGAGGGGGTGAAAGGGAACGAGTGTGCTGATAAATGAGCAAAAAGTGCACTACAAAAAGAAATAACTTTACCAGTTTAACTTGGAGAAGGAAAAGCAGTCATTAAGAAGAAAGGGATGGAGATCTGGCAGAAAAGGTGGGAGAAAGACCAGAAAGGCAAAGACTATCACAAAGTTCAAAAGACAATGACAATTAATATTTATAAAGAAAGAAACAGAAGGGAGGAAATCATGATAGCTAGACTCAGACTGGATCACACAGCATTGAATGGTACGCTGTATGTCATGGGGAAAAGTGACAGTGACAAGTGTAGGAGCTGTGGAGTTAAAGAACATGTGGAACATATCTTATTACATTGTGACATCTATAAAGCTGAAAGAGAAAAACGAAAGGATGAAGTTTTAGAGGCAGAGAGGGAGAGGGGTTGGTGTTCTGGAAACAGGAGTAAGAGCTACCCGAAAGGCACTGTTTACCTTTCTGAGGGAAACTGGGGTAGGAAAAACAATTTAACATTAGGTCAGGAAAGATCATAGATTTTTGTTTTATTTATTTTATGTTT